AGCACGACTCAGCTCAGTTTCTTTAATGCCCGTTACAATCGCCAACGGTCAGCATCGCTTCAACGCTCGACACAGATTTTTTAAAAAAATCTCTACATTTGAGACAATTCCGCCACCGGCGGCTCTCCGCAGCGCTTAACGAGGGGTAATCGCCGCTTAACGAGGGGTAATCGCCTTCCCGTAAGGAGGAATTATGTCAACATCCACGGGGTCCGCTCCGCCGCGGCGAGCCGTCCGCAGGGATGGAGGTGGGGAGGGAGCAGCCACGATGCGAGGGAAGCCAAGAGGTGCGTGCACGGTTCAGCCCATTCACCCCAAAATTCGGCATCCGAGGTTAACCCAAAAACCTCTAACGGATCCCAACACGCCCGAGAGCCCGGACGGGACAGCGCTGTGTACATCATCCAGAGTCAGTTACGTTTTATTTATCATGAGTACTACCGGTGCCCTCTTTAAAAACGATTCTTTTCCAGCCCCGTTTCTGCCGGTGGAACTTCGGGGGTGTTCTTCGCCGCTGGGTTCAGCGCGAGAAGACTCGGCTCTACGCTCAGACTCGCCCTATTAAAAACTAAACTTTGTTTTCAAGGAATAAAAGCCGCTAAAAATCTACCTAAAAACCTGCTCCGGTGTCCGTAAGGGCGCGTAGGCTCCGGCGAGGGAGCTACGCCTCTGCGAGAGGGAAAGGTTTGCTCACCCCTCCTCCGACAGGGAGGAGAATTTAGTTAAAAAAAGAGGGAAACAGTAAAATCTCCCGCCCTTTGCCTCCGCAGTTAGGGGTGGGATGACTCCCGGTGAATCACAGAATGGTTTAGAGGTTGGGAAGGACCTCGACGATCACCGAGTTCCAACCCCCCGCCACGGAAGGCGAATGCAGCTCGGGCCCCAAATTCGGTGCGCGTTTGCGCCGTGAAGGCAAACGCTTCTCTTTTTTGGTTTTTTTTTCCATCATTTAATCGATTCTCGTCTACGCCACGACTTGTTCTTCCTCCTCTTCCGCGGCAGACGGCGACTCGGCGGCGCAGAAGGGAGGTTCTGCCATCGACTCAACTCCAGCCACGGCCGCGGCAGTGAGACTTCTCCGCTGAGAGACCCCCTCGCTCTGTCCCGCACGTTAAAATCCCCCATTTTGGGTCGAGCGCTGCCGGAGGGAGCGCGGGGACGTCTCCGGAGAGAGGGGTGGGTGCCGGCACTCGGTCTCTCCCAAGTCAACAGCGCCGCAATTTCCGTTTTAGAACCATCGCTTCATATTTAACTATGAACTTTTAACGCTGGGTGACGTCGGGTTGTTCGAATTTCCCCCAAATGGAAGTTAAGGAATAAAAACATCCACCCACGAGGAGTCATTCCAACTTCAAAAAGGGCCTTTTTTCCACCTCTTTCCGGCCAGGAGCTGCTCCCTCACCTAAAAACTCACTTTAGAACAGCAGCTTTTGAAAAAAAGTAGGGCACGCATTATTATTATTATTATTTTAAGTATCCACTAAACACCTCGGACTTTTTTTTTTTTTCCCTCTAAACCCTCTTCAGAGGTCAGAGGGTTTTTTTCCCCCATTTCGCTTTGGTTTTGTTTCGCTGGTTTAATCACCGAGTTCACTCAAACGTCGTTGAGCCTCGCACATTAAACGAACGCAGCTAAAACAGTGACAAACGAAATACAGTTGTAACATAATAATTAAAAAAAAAAACCAAACAAACCCAAATCAAAATTCCCCCCCCAGTACCGTAGCAAGAATAAAGGACCAAACACTCGGAATTCAGAGATTTGGGTCTCGACCGGCCAAATTGTGACATTTCCCGCAATCCCCAACTCCGCTGGAGCGGGGTTCTCCAGGCGGTGAAGTACTTTTAGGGGGAGACGAGGGCTTTTTGGGGCGGCCGCTGGTTAAAAAAAAAAATAAAATTGCTTTAAGGCCCTTTAGGCTTGGCTGGAGAAAGGCCGTTTTCAGGTTAACGGCCGAATCCACGTGGTTTTTCCCCCAAAAGCTTCTACCAGGAGCGCGGCAGCTGCCAGCCCCGGCCCTCAGCGTTAATCCATCGGCGCGTTACAAAAACGGGTGGGATTTAGTTTTTTGGGTTTTTTTTTTTTAAACACGCGCGGTTCCACGTACAAGTCGACGTTGGGCACATTTATTTTTATTTTTTTTTTAAATAAAAAAAAAAGAAAAAGAAAAAGAAAAGAAAAAGCCGGGCTGTGCTCTACGCAGAGACGTGTCGAAAAGTCTTCCCGCTACGGAGAGGCGCGTACCCGATTGCTGGGATTTATTAAAAGGCTCAAATTTGTGTACAAAACCCACTGAAAATGAAGACAAAGGTAGATTAAAACGCTCCGGTTTCTTAAAAATCAAGTAACGCTTTCCATAAAAAACAGAGGCCGGCTTGGAAATCTGCGCCAAAAGCACACACAAAAAAAAAAAAAACCAACCCAAAAACCTTCTGGGATAACGGCTTCCCCCCGGCGCGTGCATCGACAGAACCGAGTTCAAAGACAAACCCCGATTAAAAACCGCCACCGTCTCAAGTCCTGCGGGCTAATTTCGGACAAGGCGCGGTGCCAAGCCGCTGTCGAGAAACCCAGTGAAGCGGAGGGACACAGCACGAACACTTTGGGTTTTGGAGTTGGAGAAAATTGGAGTAAAAAGCTGTTTTGGTTTGGTTTTGGTTTTTTTTGGGGGGGTGTGCAAGACTTTTTAAGATGATCTAGGAAGACCCAAAATCATGATAGCCGTAGCAGTCTGTGAAAAAGTCACCTACAAAAGGGGGAGACAGAGCAGAGGAAAAAAAAAAAAAAAAAAAAAAAAAATTAGAATTCTTTTGCAGATGGCCAAATGCGCCACATTTGAAAGTCGCGTTTTAGATTTCTCTGCTCCTGTCGCCCCCCCAGTGAAGGTTCTTCTCAAGACCAAATCGCGGTGGATTGGCAGGAAAAAAATCCCATTCGAAAGCGTGGCCGATAGCTTCACGTGGCTTAAAGCAGAGAAATTTAAAATCTTCCCGGGTTTTTAGCGGAAACGTGACGTCACCTGGGTTCGCGTTTTAAACTTTTAAGCGAGCACGCGAGCCGGCGTTCGTTATTTGGCATTCCGAAACCAAAAAAAAAACAACAAACAAACCCCACCAAAAAAACCAAAAGAGAACCCCCTTAAGAGGTTTCCGCACGGCGCGACCCAGTCCGAGTTCCACACCCCCGGCAGATCGCTGCCTCGCCAAATTTAAGAAGGGCGCTCAAAACCAAAAAAAAAAAAAACAAAACCAACCATAAATCCTCCACTTACTATAGCCCGCTGTCGCGGAATTGCCTCCGTAACCGTAACTTCCGTACCCGGCACCTGGATCAGAAGAAATAAAAACCCTTTAAATCCAAGCGCGGGAGGTTATTGCGCGACAAACCGCCGGCGGGGATTTCTTGCCGGGTGGGTTTGGGGTATATTTCAGCGGGGGGAGAGTCGGGAGGGGGCAGCGGCTCCCCTGCGTTCATGTAGCCGCCGTGGTTGCCGCCGAATCCGCCCCGGCCCCTGCCGCGGCCGCGCATGTTGCCGCCTCTTCCCCGGCCGCGCATGTTGCCGCCTCTTCCCCGGCCGCGCATGTTGCCGCCTCTTCCCCGGCCGCGCATGTTGCCGCCTCTTCCCCGGCCGCGCATGTTGCCGCCTCTTCCCCGGCCGCGCATGTTGCCGCCTCTTCCCCGGCCGCGCATGTTGCCGCCTCTTCCCCGGCCGCGCATGTTGCCGCCTCTTCCCCGGCCGCGCATGTTGCCGCCTCTTCCCCGGCCGCGCATGTTGCCGCCTCTTCCCCGGCCGCGCATGTTGCCGCCTCTTCCCCGGCCGCGCATGTTGCCGCCTCTTCCCCGGCCGCGCATGTTGCCGCCTCTTCCCCGGCCGCGCATGTTGCCGCCTCTTCCCCGGCCGCGCATGTTGCCGCCTCTTCCCCGGCCGCGCATGTTGCCGCCTCTTCCCCGGCCGCGCATGTTGCCGCCTCTTCCCCGGCCGCGCATGTTGCCGCCTCTTCCCCGGCCGCGCATGTTGCCGCCTCTTCCCCGGCCGCGCATGTTGCCGCCTCTTCCCCGGCCGCGCATGTTGCCGCCTCTTCCCCGGCCGCGCATGTTGCCGCCTCTTCCCCGGCCGCGCATGTTGCCGCCTCTTCCCCGGCCGCGCATGTTGCCGCCTCTTCCCCGGCCGCGCATGTTGCCGCCTCTTCCCCGGCCGCGCATGTTGCCGCCTCTTCCCCGGCCGCGCATGTTGCCGCCTCTTCCCCGGCCGCGCATGTTGCCGCCTCTTCCCCGGCCGCGCATGTTGCCGCCTCTTCCCCGGCCGCGCATGTTGCCGCCTCTTCCCCGGCCGCGCATGTTGCCGCCTCTTCCCCGGCCGCGCATGTTGCCGCCTCTTCCCCGGCCGCGCATGTTGCCGCCTCTTCCCCGGCCGCGCATGTTGGGCGGCGGGGGCACCTCGTTGTGCATGGGGCCCCCCATGCCGAACCCCGGGTTGTGCTGCTGCGGGAAGAGAGGGAATGGGTAACCAGCGACCGCTTTACCGACAGCATCGCCCGGCCGGCGGCGGGAAACGACGCTTTCGGAAGGGGTTTTGGAGCCGGAGGACGCGGCCGAGGGAGCGAGACCCAAAAAACGCGGCCCCGTCTGCCCCAAAAGGCAGCCAGCCCCATCTGCCCCAAAAACGCAGCCTGATCTGCCCCAAATTGCAGCTCAGTTGGTCGGCCCCGTCTGCCCCAAAACGCGGCTGATGTGCCCCAAAACCACGGCCAGTTTGCCCCAAAACCACGGCCTGGTCTGCCCCAAAAGGCAGCCAGCTGGCCCCAAAACGTGGCCAGCCCCGTCTGCCCCAAAACATAGCTCCTCTGCCCCAAAACGCAGCCCAGTTGGCCAGCCCAACCTGCCCCAAAAGGCAGCTCGTCCCATCTGCCCCAAAACGCAGCTCCTCTGCCCCAAAACACGGCCGGCCCCGTCTGCCCCAAAAGGAAGAGGGGCTAAGCCAAAAGTCAGAGGGCATTGGTACCAAATTAGGGTAAATCTCCAGAAAACAGAGGCTTTTTTCCCCCCCTCTATTCCACTTTCGCACCCAACGGCCGTTAGCCGATCCCGGTTTCCACACCTTAAACTGTTTCCCCTCCCCAAAAAGAGGTTAAAACCACAGAACCATTAGTTACACGGAAAAATTGTTAAAAGGGTGAATTTACTTACTTTTACTGCAAATTTGGGGCCCCCCCTCGCTGGCACGGGGGCTCTCTTCTTCTTGTTTTGCTCGATGGCGACAGGAGCATCCGGAAAGAGCTTCTCCAGCGCCGCCAGAGCAGCGTAGGCTTTGGCCACCTTTTTATTCGAACCGGCTCCTTGGAATTTCTGTCCGTCAACCTCCACCTTTGAAAGGGATCAAACGGCCGCGCGTGAGCGGAGCGGGCAGGGGCAGAAGCTGCCCCTTACGTCAAATAAATCATTTTATTTTGTTGGGTTTACGGTGCCCACAGAGAATTCCCGAAGTCGGAACGCGCTCAAGGTGAGGTCGGACAGGCGCTCGAGCGACCTCTGCCCACCAGATTATCCTGAACAGTCCCTCCCGACCCACACCGTCGGGCGACTTTATGATTTTAAATTCTTATTGAGGCTATAAAGTCGCGGATACCCGAGTGGGGATGAAGGCGCAGAGAGAGGAGCGGGTGTCACCTCACCTCCATGACGAAGCGCTTGTCGTGACTGCCGCCCGTTTCCGAAATCAGTTCGTATTTCAGGCCGCGTCGTTTCTCGTTAAGCTCCATCACGGGATTCTTGCCGTGCTTCGTCAGAATTGGTCCCTGCTGTTTCACGTTCTGGAAGCAGAGAAGCGACGATGAGAAAAAAAAAAACAAAAACAAACAACCCCTAACGCACCTAAACCACTTCCAAAATACCAATTTTGGAAAACATTTTGGAGAAGACAAGCTTGCGATAAGCTGTACCTCGTAAGTGGTATCGTGGCACTAAGGGAAAGGCACAGCGCAGCCCTACAGCGACAGCGCTTCCAACGACGTCCCGCATCACCCTCCCATTTTCCCCCCCCTTCTCGGACCGCGCTCACCTCCGGGGTTTGATCGGAAGGAGGAGACGCAGCAGCGGGCGTCGAGACGGTTTCTACTACAGGAGGAGGAGCGACGACGACTGGTTTCTGCTCCGTTTCCTCCGCCGATTCGTCTCCTTTCCCAGACTCTTTGCCTTCCACTCCCGTGGGTAAACCCATATCTTGCAGCACCTGGAGG